CGGTATAAATTGCGCGCCGCTTCATTTAGTACTGATAATCATATCGGTTGTCTCTCCATTTAAAATTAACAATGCTAATTAATGGTTATGACTGTGTAGAAAAAAAGGTATTCGGGCATGTTGCGTGTTCGTTACCCTAAGAGGAAAAATATCTAAGAAATAAAAAAATATTTATTCGATAGATACTAATAATACATATTTACTTATATTAATATACAATATATTTTTAAAATAAGAAAATATACATATTTTCGTAAGATTTTAGCTGTTCAGGAAAGCAATTGTTTATTCTACTTCAAATCTAAATCAAAATATTTAGATTTAGGTAAATATGTTATTGGTCCCTCGCCAAATAAATATTTCTTTAGATATTTTTTTTCTCACACACAAAGTATATTCGTACCGGTCCTCTGACGTATGCCGTGTATCCCCGTTTTTACGTGTCTTTTTTTCCGACAATAATTATGGTACTAACCGCGTGGAAAATATGCGACTCATGATCGCGCGATACGCAGAATAAAAATATATTATCCGGTATTACCAACTTCTAATTTGCAATGAAAAACCATTGATCGTGGAATTCTTTTCAATTTTTCTTTTTTTTTCTATTTTTCTACATATTTATTTTAGTTTATCCTGAAAAGATAACTGCTCCGAGTGAAATTAAAATATATTGAAATTGATCCCAACCTGTATTCGATGTATAATTAGAATCTCAAAATACTCAATTTCACAACGGCGAATTTTCATGTATGTTAATTCAGTTTTTTTCTTTTTATCGCGCCCTTGCACGGCGCTATACGTTAACGCACGTGCAAAACCTTTCAATCGAGAACATTGTTTTCGCTTTCGTTTGCATTACTGATGGATCGATGCTAAATAATGAGCTATTGACATTCAGACATATGTAAATCGCCGGTAAATGCTTCTTGCGTAATGCCTCACTTTTTCCCCGCTATTCAACGTTTCTATTTATGAGGCATCGCCGATTGTATCATTCTCGCTCATTGCCATTAGCACAAGATTCGAGTCTTTATTGTGTTTTTTATATTAATTACACTCAATTCTAAATTATTCGTTGACGAAGTTGAAGCGACGAAGCGACAAAATTGACGGAATGCAGCGTGCAACATGATTTAATAATTTCAGCGGTTCAACAACTTCTCGTAAAGAAGACATTGTCTACGTACTTTTTATTCCTTTTTCTTTTTTCTTTGTGGAAAGAGCCCACGTGATTGGTATATTGCCTGACATATTGAACGAAGCGTTGCGTTTCACGCTGGATAAACTTTGGAACTTTCATTTACAGGCGTATAAAAACGCGAGATAACGAGTGGCTGTTTCTTTCGATACACATGACGTTGGAGAAAATGTTACAAGTACAATTAAAAAAAGAAAGATTATAGACAAAATATGCGATTAGAATTTAGAAAATACGAAGGAAAAGAGAGATAGATAGATAGATAGATAGATAGAGAGAGAGAGAGAGAGAGAGAGAGAGAGAGAGAGAGAGAGAGATGCAAAGAGAAGAAGAGAAAGAGGGAGGGAGGGAGGAAGAGAGGCGCGCTATCTACCAAACATATAATTATTTCGCAAGAAGAACTTAAAGTCCGATGCGAATCACACGATCGGGATTTCTATTTCTTTCGCGAATTGCGATCTCTGCGGTGCATAGTACAATGTGACATATAAACACTACTGAATGAATCGTGCATTATTATGGTATGCGTACAAAGTGCGCTCAGCTGTCAGCTAAAGCATCGACGTCAGAGACGGAACGTTTGCGCATTCGCAACGCTGTCAAAAATATGCCGATAAACGTCTATGCAAATGCAACGCGTGTCTGTGGAAATACCAAAGTGAATGAACAACTTCAAAAATGTCGATATGACTATTTATTGATCATCAGGGAAAAGGGATATCTTTCAGACAAATTTATTTAAACAATTTCAAATTTTTCGTCTATATTTATCTTTATTCAGAAATGGCACGCAAATTTCGTCAGCATATATGTATCATTCCTCGTTTCTGACGTTACAAATCCGACATGGCCGGCGAAGTACAAGCAATGATAGAAACTTTGCTCCGCGAGTAGCACGTATCAACACGGGAAGGGATACGCACTACTCACGCGACCGTGTCCGTGAGACTCATGAACACAATTGCGTGAGTGTGTGCGTATCCTTTACCGTGCTGATGCGTGCTGCTCGCGGAGCAAAGTTTTTATCACTGGTTAAGGAACCTTAACAGGAGTACGCTATCGTTTTCGTATTTCTTGTATATATATAAATCTTACATAGATATGTTGCTTTGTTTTAGTATATTTAGCGGAGAACATGCATATATAGCATTTTTCTGCAAATTTTTCGTATATTTTTAAGGCTCTAAATTGAGTTGGGAAGGTACAGCAGTGTTCTATGAAATTTTTTTAAGCGGAGCAAACACATGTATATAAACTGCAGAACTTTTGTATCGAGTAAATATTTATTTGAGATATCAATTTTAAAATTTTCTGACGTCTTCGTCATATATTGAGTACCTCACACAACACAACGTCTAAAATCGGGACATAAGACGTCTAAAAAGTATCTTAAAAACGTCTCTCAGACGTCGGAATATAAGACATCTTTAAGACGTCTTATGTCCGTCTAATTTTAGTCGTTGTGATGTATGAGAATGCTTCAATTGATTTCTGTATATATTTTTATTGCATTTAAAAGTATTTATAATTCTGTGCAACTAATACGTCGTAAACTTGCAGAAAAAGTCAGTATTCTGTCGATAAAATTTTCGGATATAGCATCTCCTTAAAAAGGAAAATATCAATTCTTAGACGTGAATATAATCTGAAACGTTTTTACTGCTTTGATCTTTTTTTTTTAGATAAGAATATTTAAACTTTTAATATAGAATATATGTATAAAATATATCGAATATATGTGTATATTCAAATATATATATATTTTTTTTTTACGATGAAAGCTTAAATCTTTCTAGTTAAGGATCAAAATAATAAGGATATTCAAAACTAGTGTGTTCGGACATTAATACTTTTACTTTACCTGCTTGAAACGAATTTGGCTTATAATTAGTAGAACTTGTACATAATAGTAAAAATATTATAATAATTTTAAATAGTAGAATTTGTATAAATTATAGCAGAGCTTATATAAATAGTACAGTTTGAGAGACGTGATTTCAGCACAAGAGTTTAATAATAAAAATCGTAAAAAGAGATTTGTTGATTTAATAAAATGATAAAATTTGTTTTTATCCTTTTTATTATAAAAGTACTTGATTCGTTTAATAAAGTGAATCTTTCCCCGGAGATATATAAACAAGAGAAAGAGAGAGAGAGAGAGAGAGTCGATTTCACGCAACATAATCTACGCGGGTTACGCCGTTGCTTGACGATTAGAGCTGACGCGCGTAATTCTAACAAAGTATCGGTACTCTTCATAGAAATTGTGCACACGCACACGCATTTATAATCTATACACCTTCCGCAAAACAAGTAGAACATGCGCTTTCGCTGCGTATATGTAAATATACGTAAATAAGCATGTTCATCGTTCATGTGTGCGTGTATTCGCACTCGCGCGCGTTTATCTACGTGTGAGTGTGCGCGAAGTCTCCTAGTATAAGAACGTTAGGCAGGGCTACCGACCCAGCAGTCTTTGGCACGTGCTGCGAGACACTGGAGAACGATACTCGGTATAGACATCGCGGAAAAACGGAAAGCAAACCGGACACGGTGATTTTTCCGTCTAGCGCGAGCATCGTAGTCGATCAGTGTAAAAAACTCATTTCCGTATTTTATAACACGTACGAGAGTGCCTTTTCTGTGTGTTTGCGAATCGAGACAATGACGCTTAAATCTCCCGAAGCGACATACCTGAAGAAAACGGTACGCACTGAAAATATTATCACGAAAAAAAGATACATGAAAGGAAAAACGAATCGAGAAAGATTCCTCAGTAAAAAAAAGAAAATATTAGATCAACAGCAGGTATCTTGAATTATTAATCTTATATATATATATATATATATATATATATATATATATATATTTTATATATATTATTATATATATTTTTAGATATTTTCGTTTAATATATCAAGAATATTTGAAAAATATTACCGGACAATATGATCTGCCTTTGAATATTGCAAAAACACTAGAAATATTAAAGTGTCTAAATTAATAATGATGTTGATACAACGTTAAAAATGACATGTTAAAAATATTATATGCTATTGAATATCATTGCAATAATGTTCTATCAATGACTTTTTGCTCCTGGAATTTTTTCTGTGACTGGATAACTCAACTCTTCTCTCTTTGGATCAAATCTCTTTAAGAGAAGGCACCGGGTACATTTGAATTTCAAACAAAGATACGCACATATTGTGTAAGATACGAGAGTATTGTGCTGCAAAATATTTCCAACTATCTCGAAATTCATCACGCTTGTATGAATACTTGATTCGTTTCTCTTGGCTTTCCAATGTCGGACGAAATTACATATGACGATTCTACTCACACGTTACATATTCATCGCTTCATTAATGTACTGCGTGTATTAGGTCTGCACTATATCAGCATCTGTATTTCAGGAAAGTATAACGAAGTTGCACTTCGAAGTTCGCTTTGAAGATATTATGCGCGAAAATCTCTCCTACAAATGTTCGCTAAACTTTCTCAAATTTTTCCTTTAAATTCAAACTTAAATTTTAAATAAACTTTCTTTGAATTTTAGTGATCCATTATTATGTCAAGTTGAAGATGCATTGTCGCTCAATGAAGTATAAGTTCAGATTTTCAATTTTAATTGCGAGTTTGATGAATATAATGCGTTACATCGTGCATTTCAATTTTGTATTTCCGCGTACTTTCGCTAGGCAAATGTACTTTCTGATATGTTAAGTAATGTGCATATGAGATATATTTCTCTGTTAAGAGACAAATGTAATAATCCTCTCTTTGATTTCTGTTGCAGGGTCTTAACGGCCGACTAGCATTCGCTATCGCGGCAGCTGCTCTCGGCTCATCGTTCCAACATGGATACAATACCGGTGTGGTTAATGCTCCTCAGCAGGTATCGAATTTCGTACTTATCCTGTCATAGGACGCCCTTAATTGTTTAAACAATTTTGTTATAAACTAAAAATTTTTTCGATTTTTTTAATTGAAAAATTGTTCTTTTTATGATAAGATTTCATATGTTATCTAGATAATATCTTTGCTATAATAGCTTAACTATAATAGCTTAAGCGTTCGTAACGCAAATAAAAATATAAAACTTATTTGTTTTTCAACATAACAATAACAACACAATTTTTATTCGAGAAAATCGAAAAAAAGTTCCAATGTTTTACAGCTTATCGAGGACTGGATCAGCGAGCTGAAGGAAAACCGAACAGGCATTCCGACGTCGCAGTCAGAGGTCACGCTGATCTGGTCGGTGGCTGTATCGATATTCTGCGTTGGCGGAATGATTGGCGGTTCATTAGTGGGCTGGGTGGCTGATCGCTTTGGCAGGAAGGGTGGTCTGCTACTGAACAACGTGTTGGTGCTGTTGACCGTGATCTTCGAGGGTTTCGCCAAGACGGCGAAGAGCTATGAGATGATAATCTTCGGCAGATTCCTAATCGGCATAAACTCGGGTCTAAACGCTGGTTTGGCACCAATGTATTTAGCGGAGATATCACCGGTGCATTTGAGAGGCGCCGTCGGTACTGTCTATCAGTTGGTCATCACCATCTCCATCCTGGTATCGCAAATCCTCGGTCTGGAGCAGATACTCGGCACCGTGGAACAGTGGCCGTTACTGCTTTGCCTAACGATCGTGCCGGCGATCTTCCAGGTGTGCACACTGCCGCTTTGTCCTGAGAGTCCCAAATACTTGTTGCTTAGCCGCGGCAAGGACATGGAAGCCCAAAAAGGTACAGATACGGTATTACGTGTGCTACGCATATAGTGAATGCGAGGATTTAATCTCGATATAAATGAACGATTCAAGATTTTCAGCTGCATCGAATTACCATATCAAGAATTAGAAAAAAAGTGTAGCGTGAGAACAAGATCCGAGATTTCTTGCTCTCGACATCATAATTCGACCGACATTCAAGATTATCTGAGAACGCATCACGCGAGCTACCGAGAAATCAAGTTTTCAGTCATCGAAATCGTGCTGCATGTAAAAGCTAGAATCGTTCTAGAATTCCCGTTTTCCTCCATAGAATAAGCTCTTTGTGTCGCTTTCTTTCTGTGAACTTTATCCATGTTCGCTTTTTTTCACGGAGGTATCCTTTTTTTCCAGCGTTGACCTGGTTGCGTGGCACGATCGAAGTTCACGACGAGATGGAGGAGATGCGTTCGGAGTTCGAATCGATGAAGCTGATACCGAAGGTCACGTTACGCGAGCTGTTCGTGAATCCGGCGCTGCGGATCCCGTTGTTCATCTCCATCATGATTATGTTCGCCCAACAGCTATCCGGTATTAATGCCGTCATGTTCTTCTCGACCAAGATCTTCACGATGGCGCAGCTCAACAAGAACGCCGCCCAAAATGCCACGATGGGCGTCGGTGCAATGAATGTCCTCATGACCATCGTTTCCCTGGTGTTGGTCGAAAAAGCAGGCAGAAAAACGCTGCTCCTTATTGGTTTCGGCGGCATGTTCATAGATACCGCTTTGCTTGCTATTTGTCTTGCATTCGCTGTAAGTATTCTTATTCTTCATATAGCTAATCAGAATTAAAAGGTAAATAAGTACAAGAGTTACAAAGACAGTATAAAATTTATTTTCAATAATTTATTCTTAAGAACATCCAATACTGCACCTTTAGATGTATAATTTACTTTTAATTACAATTTATTTTTAGGGAACATCACAGGTAGCGGCGTACTTTTCGATTGTACTTGTCATCTTGTTTGTGGTGCTCTTTGCTACCGGTCCAGGCAGTATCCCATGGTTCTTGGTATCTGAGCTCTTCAATCAATCCGCCCGACCGCCTGCTACTTCGATCGCCATCGCTGTGAACTGGACAGCGAACTTCATCGTCAGCATCGGCTTTTTGCCGCTGCAGGAGGCGGTAGGCGCTTACGTGTTCATTATCTTCGCCGTGCTGCAGGCGTTCTTCACAATCTTCATATACAAAAAAGTGCCGGAAACGAAGAACAAGACCATGGAGGAGATTAGCAGCATGTTCAGGCAAATATCATATCAGTGAGAGGAGTAGTGAGCAAACGAAATGGGATCTCTGAGAGACGATCTGTATCGATATTGTATGAGCGATTAATGCGTTCCTCTATTTGTCTCTGTCTCTCTTTTTTTCTCTCTCTCTCAACCTATCTTTATCTCTTTTTGTCTCTCTGCTCCTCTGGCGAGGAACTCAGCAACTCAGCGAGAATGACATTACTGTAACGATCTATCAAACGCGCTTCCATCACGTGGATTTCGACCACGCGCTGCAACGAAGTTCACCGGATACATATCTGGACGTGAACACTCGCCCGCGAGAAATCATGTTATAACATATCTGACATAACAGTGCCAACTAGAAATCCGAAAATTTTAACTCTTCACTTACTGTTATTAAACATTTTTTAGTATTTTACTTTTTATTCTTTTTTTATCGAAAAATTTGAGTGAAACTTTATCATAAGACTTTATCACCCTCATGTCGAGCGAGTTAGTGTCGGGTTGCGCAAATTTAATACGCTTAGTTCCTATTGTATCCAATGTGAGATTGTTAGCAATAGAATCAACCATCGAGACAGCAGCAGAACTGGATTTGTTAGCTGAACATTTCTCGCGTTGCGGGAACGATGACACGCGCCGCGATTGTATCGGTACGAAGAACTACAACTCTAGTCATACGAGAAGACCTGTGTGTATCGAGTAACGTCAAGAGAATTACATCCGGGCTGACTACTTTATATCGGACCGCTGGTTTCATGTCGACAATACTTATTGCTTCGTCGTATGGCGAATTTTTATGCGATACGAATACATCGTATTACATGCCGTGTTTCAGAGAAATCGTGAGAGTACACAAGCGAATTCTTTATTTTTTTCTATCTTTGAAGGCGTGCGAGAAGCTCCTGTTCCAATTAATCGAACAATCGTGTTGCGTTATATAAGTAGGAAAAGAAAAATACGAACTGTTGATTAAAAAAAAAGGAGAGAGAGAGAGATCTTGTCTTGCGAGAGAAAAAGTGCTTTCCTTTTTTACAAGATATTTTAAAAATGAATTTGGAAAATGTTTTATTACGTGAGCCGAGACGTGCTAATTTTATGGAACAGAAATGATAAGAACAGCGTTAAATATAAATGTATATACTAAAGTGTAAAGACTAGTATTGTGTATAGCATAGAGAAAATTATATATATATGTGTATATATATATATATGTGTGTGTATATATATATATATATATATATATATATATATATATATATATATATATATATATATATATATTTATGTACGTATATAGTTAATTAATGTTTAAGAGGGATATATTGAGATGTTGTCATATTTTAAAAATATTTAGGTTAATTTTAATGAGATACCTTACATACATACATTACGCTGAACGCAAAAACTCAGGAACTTACGCCTGTTATCGTGTAAATTGCAAGTTAACGTGATGTAAATTTATTTTTATTTTCTTTGTTACTCTGTGCACAGCCTCAAAGAATACTCATTATAATAACCGTTTTAGTATTAATGCTCTGACGGATTTATTGTAAACGGCAAGAGGCTGACTATGTCTGATAAATGTGCTGTAAAATCGTTTTCTGATTTTTTCTACGAACAATCATTAAAAAAAAACAAGAAAATATATAATGTAATCAATTTGAATTTAAAGTTTACTATATGTATATTCTCGATCACACACATACATATACACACACAGTCTGTACAAATGAAACAAATATTGTATGTCCGAAGTGTATTCGGTTAATAATATTCTACTTGTTGCGAAACTGTAAATAATGCAGAGGTCTTATATTCTTAGCTGACCTATTGCTCTAATTATCGTATAAGTTTTTGCAACGCAGTTCTAGCATTTTAGTTTTAGTCGATTCTTTTATAAATAAATTCATTCTCAGATAGCATAAAATCTTCCAGAGATGTCCTAAGAACTTATGTGAACATTTAGAAATCCTCAGAATGTCTTTTGGATATCCTAGGGATTTATTTAAGAAGATACCTATCCTCAGGAAATCTTTAGAATATTTTTGCAAAGTTGTGCTATCTGGGTTGATACTTGTAGTACCAATTTACACGCCGATATTATTCGTGAGAATTAATGCAGTAAATACTTTGCAAATCCATTCATTTATACATCAGATGCTATTTGCTATAATAGTTAATTATATGAAAATTAATCAAAATTCGATAACATTGTTAATCTGTCTGTTTACGAGATGTGTCACTGAGTACTACCAAAATGTACATGTACAATGCGTTACGATTTTTATGATATTTGATGCTGATATATTGTCTGAATAAAATTATTGGAATTTCAAGTACAAAATAAAATTATAATTTTTAATTATTCAAGAGCCCACAGCAGAGGTATCCAAAATATATCATAGGGATATCCTAAAGATATATTTGGGATATGTAATATCTTCAAGATATTCCTATAATGTATTTGGGACATTCTTGCTGTGTGGGAGAGTATATATCATTGTATCCAGAGAACAATAAGAAGTCTTATCTTAAAGATATTCAACAGATATTCGTAAAAGGCATCCTATAACATCTAAGTACAACATTTTATGAATATTTTAAATGATATATCTTTCAGATATATATAATTTAATATGTAATAAATTACTATGTGCTACATTTCTTTGTCCATTATATGTTTATAATACCCGAAACGCCTGCTCCGAAAAGTCTAAAATTTTTTGTTTTATTAGAAATGTGTTATATTTTCATACATTATGTTCTTTATACATTCTGTAACTTGAACTCTATAGCTAAGACTCGAACTTTGTTTAGTCGAGACTCAAACCACTTGCTTAACAACCCATCTAACACAACATCTAAAATCGGGACATAAGACGTCTTAAGGACGTCTTAAAGACATCTTAGGGACGTATTATATTCTAAAATCTGAGACATCTTTAAGGCTCCTGACCCCTCGCATTGTCTATCTTTTTTTAATGATGTCAGAAGCGAGAAAATGCATGCTAAAAATTTTTGCGAAATATATTGAAATAAAAATATATATCCATAAAATAACACTTACAATCGATTAAACAAATTTGTAAGATATTCCGTGCACTTCCCTTTTAGATATTAATTAAAATTTCAATATAAAATTTTAATATATAAAAAAAATATATATATTTTTATATTATATATTATTATATTATGTATTATTTTATATTTTATGTTATATATAATATATATATATATTTTTTTTTTAATATATAATTATATTAAAATTTCAATATAAAGTAAAGTCTCCGCATATATCGTCACTTTCATGAGAGTCTCTTCTGTTAATTCTAACTAAGAAAGAAAATCAAGTATATTTGAAAAATTATACACATATATTTAAGAATATAATTATTTATTAAATCCCAATATAGATTTATAAAAAATAGAAAACTCCGGCGAAAGTTAATAATTGCAAATTGTAATATAACAGCATATAAAATCTAATCATATTAAAATAATAAAAATTGATAAGTGATACTATGTCATTTATCATTACATCACTTCACAAACTGAATACTATTAATATTTTGCTGACAATAAAATGTATCATTACGACATTAGTAAACCAAATATGAAATAACGAAAGACCTAACAGTACATAGTTAGCATGCTATATATATATATATATATATATATATATATATATATATATATATAAACTTACAATATTTTAAATATATGTTAACCCTATATATAATTTTCATATAGTATTTACTAAAAAAAAAAAGAAGAAAAACTCAGCTGCTATAAATAATTAAATATTGTACTGATTGCATAATTATTACTGCTAGAAACTCAAGCCTGTTAGCAAGCTATTAAGAAGCTTGACAACTTAATGTATCCTGTATTATATAAAATCTTTACAAATTTATTACAGTATACAACAGGATTTTTATACTTGTATTATTTGTACAATATATGATCAATTTACAAAATATATCTTTCAATTATCTTACCACATAGCTCCTGCAAATATGAGTAGAATATGGTCCATATTCAGTACCACAAAACAGCACAAGCGTAAAAAGTTTTTTTTCTTCAAAATAGTATATAATGCATTTGTATAACGAACTGATATAAAGAAAATTAATTTCTTCTTTCACGTGATACAAGATTCCACTGTCTTTTTAACAGCATCACGAGCATATGGTATATACGATAAAGAATACCATGTCATAGCTAGAGATTGAATGATTATAAATAGGAGAGCTAATCCAGGGTTGTGCAACTGTAAAGGAAAAATATTGGGAATTAGCAATTAGTATTAATATGTTACAGAAAAAGACCAGAAAATTATATGTACTTACATGTAATGCAGCAACTAACGTCAAAGCAATAGTAACAAATACTATTATGGTTGCAATTACTCTTGTTGGTGCAAACATTTTTTTAAGCTGATTAAATGGTCCCATTAAGAAACAAGTACTAAAGCATACAAGTGTTATAATGTTTACATTAAGTTGTACAGTTGATTTAGTATTATTATTATGATACAAATTCTCTAATGTTATAAATTCTTTATCCTTCATATTATAGGGCTTTAACAATCGAAAGCATCAATAATTATATATAATATTACCTAGCCAAAGAAATAACATTGCCTAGAGTATAGAATACAGCAAATACCGCAAGGCCTTTATTTAGGAATAGAGCAAATGATCCAAGAAAAGAACACAGTACACCTACGATGAAACATATTGCAAAACCCTTTATCCTAGTAGACCAACTCAATGTTGTTTGGTCCATGACCTGTATCAAATAGAATGAGCATCAGTTTCCAGATTGAGATGAGAAAAATTATCTCTCATAACTGTATACATCATGTTCCATATATTGTAACTATGTTAAAATGTAACTCTAATTTACCACAAAATCCACATCAGCCTTCCATCGCCGAGCGTGCGTTTAGAAAAAATAATTTTAGTTTATCGAAATAATTTTTTATGCAAGTACAAACAGGTGTAAACTCCCTTCTCTCCTTCTTGTTATCAAATAAATAAATAAAAAAAAAAAAAATATATATATATATATATACATATATATATTCATTAAACGTAATTACCTGCGTGATAATGCCGCTTTCTTCGTCGCATTGTTCATTGCCACTCAGAGCTCTTCTTAATTTATCCATATTTTATATAAACGTAAAGAGAAATATTTCGTAAAAACGAAATAATGTGTGCATTAATCTACTCAACGTATGAGGTTATATATTCTTTTATTACGCATTTATATATTCAAAATTACGCGTATTGTATGTCTGAATATCGATTGTCAATCGGAATATCCTTATACACGTTTTATCACTTTTGACAGAAAACATTCGCCGTCACGTTTATCTTTTGTCGATATGCAATTCGAAAGTTCTTGACGTTTCCAAGCGTCAAGTAACTAGTAGCATGGGGTGCTTTCCAGTTGCGTACACTGTATTACACAAAACCAGTTTATTGGTTGCATATTATCTTACAAGATATTTTAGATAATATATGACCAATAAACTGGTTTTGTGTACGTGTGTGTTAAGATGTGTTGTTAAGCAATTGGAAAGCACCCAGAGAGGAGTCTGAGAGCGGCAGTGTTGCCAGATGGCTCAAGCTGAATATCCCCCACATTCTTTATGAATTTTCCCCAAATTTTCCAAAAAAAAATTAATAAGCGGAGGAAAGAAGTATTCCATATGCGCACAAGATTTTTAATATTATAACTTGATATTTTAGTTTTAAATTATTAAGGCTTTTTTAAGGCCAGTATTCATAGTCGGTATTCATAGCCTTATATTTAAGGCTGTTTTAAGTTTATCTTCAGATATTCAATAGCCGGTACAGTTGGTAGTCTGATACGGGCTTTACGCTATTTCTTTTTCCATCTAAACACACTCTAACGGAATAGTGGTTTTGCTAGTAATAACTAAAAATACGAGCACTAGAGAAATAATCGCGAGTGTGCACAGACTGGCACAAACTGCAAGCACTCTAAACGCGAAAGTTGTCAAAAACAACTCCGTTCATGTTGTGTTATGATGATATGTATATTGTACATTATGGCATACAGTCGAACTAATGTACATAGGTTTCATAGTAGTATTTGAAACAGTTACAGAAATTTATTAATTAATTGTCTGTGTGGTGTCACCGTACGGTGACAAATAACGTCGAGAACGATGTCGACATCAGAACCACTTGCGATCGTGCAATCAAAGTTTGTCTCGGGTGAGACCGTCATAACTGTATCCTTTTTTAAATTTAATGAATAATAGACGTATTATCTATCGTTTACCACACTCTAAGTTATTGAACCAAATCATTAGGTACATAAATAGTATACGAATAGAACATATTATTGCAATGCCTTAACTGTCTAAACATAGGCAACTGAAGCATCGTTAATACAAGGATGGATAAAATCTACAAGATATGTTGCACTTATTTACAAAGGTTCGACTCATGCTTTAGCGATCTTTCTCACTTCGAAGACACCTCCACAAGTATATAGTGATCTTACTCTTGAAGGGATATTACCTATTGATCAAGATTTCAAATGTGGAATAGGTATCATGATTTTTCTATAATAACTACATGTCATTAATTTCATTTGGATTCAAGTTATTCTATTGGCAAGTAGCTTTTTGGTAAATGAGTAAATATTTTTAACTAAATCTTTTTATTCTTTCTTTGTTTTAGATACTAATGGAGAAGCACAAGATGGTCTTGATGTATATATGAATATTACATCAAGGAAACTTCGTCTGATATTTGAAATAAAGCTGGGAGAAGCAACCAGTTCCTTAGTATCAGAAATATTTCGTGCAATAGAAGGTATATGATATTTCAGAGTTTTATCTCTTAGATAGAGAGAATCTAACATAAAAATATACCTGAAATATTTCAATAATCTTTATATATGGCTAATTTATTTCTCTATAATTAAACAATTATAATTGCATTTAATTTCTCTATAATTAAACAATTATAATTGTAGTGTATCAAACAGCTAAAAGTCCAGCAGCAGAATTCTCATGGATTGAGAAGCTAACAAGAAGTACAAGATGCTTGGTGACTACTGATAAAGATGCACCAGATGCTGCTGACTCTGTAAGTTGATCTATAATAAAAATGGACAAATTAATCACAATAACATTAAAAATTTCCCTTTAATAGGAATTTATTATTTTTACAGTTACTCAATCTTGAGAGTCCTGAGTTTGTAGTACAAAGATCATGCATTGCTTCAGGTAAATCTCCAGTAGCTGCAAGAGAGTCAGTAGTACGATATCAAATGGCCTGTAAAGAAGATGATTATATGTACAGCAAAACATTTCGGTTTGTTGTTGCATTGATTTTTGATAAAGTATTTCTTTTTTTCGTATCACTTTTTATTTAATTGACAAATATGCATAAGTTTAACAATCATTAATAATTGTAGTATACTTACATGCACATGGAATGTGAATGGACAACCTCCAAATGGCATTAAATTAGATCAGTGGTTAAGTGCCGATAAAACACCACCGGATATATACGCTATCGGATTCCAAGAATTAGATCTAAGTAAGGAAGCATTCCTATTTCACGAAACCCCTAGAGAAGAAGAATGGAGGTATATCATTAATATATAAAAATTTAATATATGTTAGCACATGCAGCTGCATAATATGTAAAAATTCTTTTTCTTAGACAAGTTGTAGTTAATTCATTACATCCTGGAGGTGTCTATGCTCAAGTTGCTCTCGTTAGATTAGTAGGCATGATGTTGTTGGTGTATGCGCTCGAAGCCCACATGCCTTTCATCGAATACAGTACTAATACGGTAGGGACAGGCATTATGGGGAAGTTGGTGAGTTTCTACTACTCGTATTGTCAGCGTAAATGTCGTATTGTTTTAAGGCTTCTAGTCTCTTGTATTGTCTCTTTTTAATAATGTCAGAAGCAAAGAAATTAATGTTAAAAATTTCTTGCGAAATATTTGTTGAAATAAAAATATATATCCATAAAGTAACACTTGCAATAGATTAAACAAATTTATAAGATATTCCGTGCACTTCCCTTTTGTTCTAACAATCAATAATTTGTCGTAAATTAATGTGACATACAATTCATCTTCTTAACCTATTTCTTTGCGTTCAGATTAATTTACAATAAATTATTGCAATTTGATTATTAGAGCAAAAGGGGAGTACACGGAATATCTTACAAATTTGTTTAATCGATTGCGAGTGTTACTTTATGTATATTATATATATATATATATATTTTTTTTTTTATTTTTTTTTTCTACATTATATATATATTTTTTTTTTATTTCAACATATTTCGCAAGAATTTTTAGCATGTATTTTCTCGCGTCTGACGTCATTAGAAAAAAGATAGACAACGTGAGAGGCCAGGAACCTTAAATTTCGTGACAATAACGCAACGCATAATCGGACTTTTCTTAATATGCAGAGTGTTATTCACGTATTTTAATATCGTTTATTTAGGGTAACAAGGGTGGTGTTGCGGTAAGTTGTCGTATTCACAATACCTCCATCTGCTTTGTCAATGCTCACTTGGCGGCACACTGTGAAGAGTTTGAACGACGTAATCAAGATTATGCTGATATCTGCACGAGATTATCATTTGACAAATTTGTGCCACCTAAAAGTTTTAAAGATCACGAGTGAGTTTTGTTTATACAGGATATCTAACACTAAGCATCCCATACCTCATGTACATATAGAATAAGTCAAAGGGAACACAAAATTCTTTTATCTTTTGCAAACAACCACGTAAAATTTTATTAATTAAAGAAATTTAGCGAATAATCACGCTCGACACGGCATGAGTTGTCATAACGACGTTTGCCATTATGTGTTTGTAGATTGGTCAAACAGAAAAAAAATCATTTTGCAAGTAGCCATGTACATTTTTGAGTTATTAATTGAAGAGGATTAACGGATGATCGCACGTGCGATAATCCACCAATGTTCTTTAATTAATAAATAAGAATCTACGTGCTTATTTGCAAAATGATAGAAAATTTTTTGTGCAGTCTGACTTAATCTATAACGTACGAAATAAGCGTTGCTATCACAAATCGTATTATACGTGAGCATTTGCCAATTTTCTTTAACTACCTTGCGCGATAATCGAAGTCTGACACGGGGTAAACGAGCCGTACTAATTCGCTCGACTCTGAATCAAACTCGGAATAACGTTTTTTTTCATAACTTAATAAACTAAATATCATATTAACATAAACCAAAGTGGAACAATTAAAGTTAAAGACTATACTTTCCAATAATTAATCGTACTAATAAAATTACTTTTTGTAAAGCACTCATCTGAACATTGTAAAAAAAGTGTTTTTTTGAAACCTATAAAAAGATATAGAAAACAATCATGTATATATTAAATAAGAATAGTATTTTAGGGGTTTTTTAGGATATATATATATATATATATATATATATATATATATATATATTAATAGAAAAATTAGCCGTTGTTGTAAAACAAAATTTGAAATCTGTAGGTTGAAAAAAATTATAAATAAATCTAACAATAAATATATATTTTCTTTCGTAGGAAAAATGAAACTATTTTAATATTAATTTTGGGAAAAAAATGCACACACAAGCGCAGGGTAGTTAATTAATAGCACATAATTTTACGTGGTTGTCTATAAAATGATGGAGGAATTTTGTGTTTAGTTTCATCTAATCTATACTAATGTACACAAAATATGGTACGCTTAGTCATCCTGTATATATTCATAATTATGTTATCATTCTTTGCTTACCCAGTTTGTTCAGTCTACTTCGAGATATAATGTTTAAATCAAATTCATCTCGTAGTCAGATTTATTGGTTGGGAGACTTAAATTATCGAATAACGGAAATGGATGTTATCGTGGCTAAACATCATATCGCGGAAGGCAGCTACGCTTCCGCCTTGATGTACGATCAGCTTGGACAACAACGTAAATTAGGACGCGTTTTTCACGGATTTCACGAAGCTGAAATAAATTTTAAACCGACGTACAAATACGATCCTGGTACCGACAATTGGGACTCAAGGTTTTTTTTTCAAACTCTATTAAATTAATATATCCAAAGCGTGATGAAGCGTATGAACTTTTTAAGATAGGATTTAGCGGAACGTATAATCTTTTGTTTCTATGGTACGAAACGCAGCGAGAAATGCAGAGCTCCGGCTTGGTGCGATCGAATATTGTGGAAAGGAGACGCAATTAAATCGATTAGTTATAAGAGTTACATGGAACTCAAAATTTCCGATCATAAACCAGTCAGCGCAAGTTTTGATTCTCAGGCAAGTATTGTAATACTATCTCTTCTTTTTTTAATCATACCATTTAATTATATATTTGAGAAAATAATATATACTCTTATATGTTTTACCACCCAATTTTCCACAATAGATACGAATTATAGACACGGCCAAATATCGTAAGATTCATGAAGAAGTCATGAAGAAGCTTGATAAATTGGAAAACGAGTACTTGCCGCAAGTAATGGTCGATACCACCGATATTATCTTTGATGTTTTGAAGTTTCTCGAACCCAGTAGTAAAGAGCTCATTATTGCTAATACAGGCCAAGTAAGTAGAGTAAATAAGTGAAATTTCGCCAAATGTTACGGCAGAAAAGTTTTTACCTTTATATACTTCATTTTACCTTATTCCTTATATTTTGCAACAATTAGGTACCAGTGCAATTTGAATTTATAAAAAAGTTAGACGACACCAGTTACTGTAAGGATTGGCTACACATAGAGCCTTATACAGGCTTTATAAAACCAGGCATGAATTTTTATTTCTAATGAAATATTTCTAGTTCTACATTTGCATACTTTCAATTATATATTGTATAATTTTCTACGTCTTTTCCTTTATCGTATTTAGGTGAAAAGTGTGATATTAAGCTGGAAGTATATGTGGATAAAAAGACTGCATGTAAGCTCAACTCTGGTGAGGATAAGCTGTATGATATTTTAGTATTACATCTTGAGGGAGGCAAAGATATTTTCATTACTGTAACAGGTATATTGTATACGCAAATATATGTGTTTGCTCTGATAAATGATGTTGTTAAACGCGAATTACGAATCGATTTTTTTCAGGTACTTACGAAAGAAGCTGCTTTGGCTCTTCTATGGAAGCATTGGTTCATATTTCAGTTCCAATCAGAGAAATCCCTATTGGACGAATAATGGAATTGGTAAATATCCAACAACTATCGTGTTATCGCATACACATTGTTATAATTTTACAAGTATATTTCCATATAACTTTACGCATATCTTAAATTCGTGTTTAAATTGCAGGAGAATAATAAAAATCTGTCGCAAGAGCCATACGCAGTACCTAAAGAAATATGGCATTTAGTAGATAGACTATATCGTCACGGCATTAAGACTCCAGGGCTTTTTGAAACGCCAGGTCTTCATAGCGAAATAGTAGCTATTCGTGACTGGTTGGATGAATGGAGTCAAGACCCAATGCGTATCCTTCTGTTTACTTTTAAATATTACGTATTGTATAAAACATGTAATCTTTCCTTAATGATACTGATGATATGGTATATATATATATATATATAGCTGGTAGTGTACATTCGGTAGCGGAGGCATTGCTACTACTTCTAGAATCCACAGCAGAACCTCTGATACCATATAATCTACACAATGTTTGTTTGTCTGCGGCAACTAATTATTTGCAGTGTAAACAAGTGAGTGAAATTAAAAAAAAAAGTTGACTTTGTTGTATTTATCTTTGTATAGTTTATATCTTTCTTTTGCACGATCAAACTAGAATCGTTCAATATTATTTCGCTCATTTGCAGATTGTGATGCAGTTACCCGAGACCAGAAGAACAGTCTTTCTTTATATCAGTTCGTTCTTGCAAGAGTTATTGAATCATACACAAGATAACGAACTTGATGCTAAGACGCTCGGTAAGGTTGTTATACTCCTATAGTTTGTACGTCTTTGCTTTTATATCATATTTAATTCATTGTTTGCTGAGCATATCTCATTTTTATTGACGCTTTAGTCACAAAAGTATTTGTAATATATTATATTATGCATTTACAGCGACGTTGTTCGGATCGATATTCTTGAGAGATCCGCCAAGGAGCAGAGACTATCATCACCAGAGAAGTCGCGCGACTCAAATTACATTCGATAAGAAAAAAGCCGCATTTGTCTATCATTTTTTGATAAATGATCAAAGTGACTTCATACTGGGCCGATAATGTGTGGACGTAAGCTTTATAACGAAATACTAGTGACATCATCTAACAATTTCTTCCTCTATTTAGAGCTTCTAAATAGGGAAAATTTCTAAATTGAGAAAACCAAGCAGTTTGTTTGACACTTATTCTAATGCTTCTTGTAATCGACGTCAAGAACTATGTATACTTCTATCATTCGTCGCAATCTGAGCATTGTCTTAAATGCTGTAATTCAGTAGGTTGATACTAATTCGAGAGACTAGATATACTACGATCTTATCGTAAATATAGATTATTTATTACAGTATGCAAATTAATTCAAATAATTTAATCGACAAGATCATCTTCTATGTTAATTATCTTAGTACGCAGTGTGTATATGGAAAAAAAGGAACGATCCTTGAACCTGATACTGCTTTTTATATCGACCATCTCAACAAAGATTTTTTACAAAGAAATGTAATAGAATGAAATAATCATATTTTTATTTATGCACTCATTGACATTTTATTATAAAAAATACATAGCAAAACGTAAATACTGAGTTCCTCTTTTTACAGAATATGTGTACAATAGACGATATATAACGATATAATAATAGATCAGTTGTTGATATCCGCAGATGTTACCGAAATATTTCCTTATCAATATCCCATCATATATGAAATGAATTATGAATCAATGAGTAAAATAATGATTGAGTAATTGTGTAAACATATCGAATTTAGAGAAAACTCACAAGATTCGTATAGTTATTTTTTTATAAAGAGGAATATAAAATGAAATCAAGCTGCATTATTTCTTCTTTTGCGATTAAGCTACAGAAAAAAGTTCAATCGTTCTTAATTCAAAACACTTTTAGTATTCAAAAAATTACATTTAAGTACTGAAAATTCTGAGAAATTAAATTTATAAATAACAATACGATATTACATATATCTAAAGAATACAATATAAAGAATTATGAGAGATAATAAAAATCAAAGAATCAATGAAAGATTATATCGAATTGCTAAATCATAGTGATATTTGCGAAACGATATAGTGATAAAAACTTGCGTTTTTTGCCGAAAAAACAGTTATTTTCACGGTAAATCATGATTCTATCTATACATTATTATAAGATTAAACATGATATGATTATACAATATGACTTGACAATATGAACTGATTATGAATCAAGTCTCGTACGTATTTACAAGTTTCTTTACTTGCGACATTTTTTCCAGATGTGTGATGTATACACGTTCAAAATTGAAAGTTTGTCGATTTGTCCTCCGATGCTTTAAATTCTAACTGTCCCTCATTATTTGCCGCAGGAGCAAGATCCACTTGTTCGTCATCCTGAAACGATTATATCTTTGACGATTTATATCTCTTTTCATCTAAAGAGAAATTGACACTTTCACTTGCTTTATACGTTGATGCATGCGTATAAAAATCAAAATATTGAACGGAAAAATATAGTGAAATGAAAGAAAAATGGCAAATAAGAATCAATCGCGATTGTTCATGCGATTATTTAAATTATCGGAGGATAATAAGGCCTGACAAGTGTCAACGTACGCACCGAATGTTTTTCCGGACTTTGAAACGTACGCGATGAATCAACTTCCATGTTAAGTCTCGACCCTTTATTTCAAATAGTTATTATTTCATTATATATATATATATATATATATATATATATATATATATATGTATGTATATATATATATCTCATCCCAAACTATTTAATATACTTTATTATCTATATACTTTATTCTTTCTACATTGTTAACAATTTTAAATATTGTCAGAAATACTACCTCGGCTAGGCAATATATCTTATCCTCCCATAGTTTAATTATTTGCATCAACAACCGCGACTGGCTCTAATTTGCTACCATCTCTTCCTCTCCTTTTCCCTCTCTTCCTTACTTTCATTTTTGATCATATGGTTAAGAATCTTGTTTATATAGTTCACAGAAAAAATATAGGTGCTTATATATGCTCTGTTTTCGGTTTATAAATCTATAATACAATTATACAAACCCCAGAGAAAAATAAGTCGATTATAGACATAGATTTGTGGTAAATCTGCTCGTTCTCATGATGTTGAAGAGCTTCCAATTTATCTAATCCTCCGGTTTCCTCTATTATCATGGCGACTTGATCAACTTGGCCCATTTTCTCAGCAGCTTGTAAGATATTCGACAAACCATCTAAGACGACAATAGTAATACCCCAATCTTTTGTATCCAATAAGTTACAAAGAGATGGTAATGCGTTCGCCTGTACTAGATTAGCTAGCTGTTGAATCGATCCACCTGACGTCAAGTTGGTTACAGCCCACGCAGCCTCCTTTTGTGTTTTAAGATCTCCCTATAAATAATATTGTAGGTACAAAATAATATTCTCTTTTGATAGTACTTGTTGAAATGTCTACAGTACATATCTACTGATTAATTTATAAGGGTAAACAGCGGAGTAAATTAAATAGCCGGAGAATTTGGATAATATTAAGCGTTTGCGACAATTTTAGAAAAATATGAGATGCCTTGTTTTATGTTTGAGGTTAATATGCTATATATTCATATTTTTATGCTCTATATCATATTTTTCTGAAATTGTCACAAACGCTTAATATTATCCAAATTCCCCTGCTATTCAATTTATCCCGCTGTACCCTAAGTATGATCTATATATATGTGAAATATATACTTACAGTTTGAAGTACATGAATTAATGGCGTCAATATTCCGGCATTTATCACACGTTGAATTTGTTCCGTATTGCCGGCTGTGATATTACTGATTGCCCAAGCGGCCTCTTTCACAACGTTCTTCCGCGGATGACTCAACAAGTTACAAAGATGCGCTAAGCCTCCCGCCACAATTATGGAATCGGTCTGAGCATCATCACCAGTCACTATATTTCCAACTGTACGTAACGCTGGAGTGAGGACAGTTCCTTCTTTCGATGTGAGCAATGCTACAAGTTTAGGTACAATGCCACTATCCAATACTGCTTGTATCTTATCGTTAGTTCCATCAGTAAGATAAGACAGTGCCCAACAAACATCAGCTAAAAAGTTAGAGTATCGATATTAATATTTCGTCTGGATACGGAAAGATGATTGGTGTATGTATGTAAGATGTGTGTGTGTGTGTGTGTGTGTGTGCACACACACACACACATTGTAGAATGTAACATAATAATAAAAGAAAACCCTATAAAAAATATCTCACCAAGTATATCTTGATCTGGATTGGTAAGCAGACGATTTAACGTTGGAAGAGCAGTTTTAACTATATTAAACGACGGAGGTGGATTTTTGTTTCGGCATAAATTAGACAATGTCCAAGTGATATTGCGCAAAAATGTCACCTGCGTATTGTTATTAGAAAGAATCAGAGAGAGTATATTTCTATGTTAGTATATAATGGCGTTTAGTTATATATAGAAAAAAGAAAGCTGATATAACGTGTCAATGATATGTAAATTATGCATTGGATTACGTACAGAAGTATCTGGTTTTATTAAATCGAGCAGAAGAGGCATAGCGTCATGTCCAAGAATAAGATCGCGCGCAATAGGTCCATCCCCGGCTATATTTCCCAGAGCCCATACCGCTTGCTCGGCGACATTAGGCGATGGTGATTTCAGCAGCATCACTAAGCGCGGTACAGCTCCGTATTTTATAACGACTTCCGTTTGTTCGGATGTACCAGAAGCTACGTTGGTTAATGCCCATGCTGCTTCGAATTGTAAAGCGACACTGAATGGGGAAAAATATAAAGATAATAAATATAAATATAAAGAAAAACATAAAGATGTTATTGTCTTATTCACGAATATGCGAATAAAGATAAGTTTCACTTGACGATCAGGTCGATGAGGACATCATTCCGTTTCTGTTTAACATCCAGAAATAAGAATGAAATGACGCTTGCGGTCGGCGCGATCGTTAAGTGGAATTTACTTGACCTACCAAAAGATTTTGGGAAAAAAGATCATATATGAATTTTACCTTTATATGATTATATATAATTATTATGATGTGTGTGTGTGTGTGTGTGTGTAATACGATTGTAAATAATCATTATATATATGTTCACAACGAAAAAAATATAATTATACAGATACAATCGAAGTAAATGTTTATGCTTCTAGCAGTATATAATGTCGATGTTTAATTGAATAAAACTATTTCTTTTCTTTTTCATTTAACATCATTTTTTCCTGTGTGAACATATATGATTATATACGTAACTATATAAAGATAAAATTCATATGTGATCATACATAATTTTATGTAATTATAAATAATCATTTTTTCTCAGAACGATAATCGACCTTATTAGTCGGTTGATTAAAAATTGCAATACTCTTTTTTGAAAAGTTTTGTATTCTGTATCCAATAGGAGAATGTTTTTTTTTTTGTAATTCTCAGGAGGTATATTTTCCTATTGGATAAAAAATAATAAATAAATACGTAATATTGGATAAATTGGATAAATGTTGTAAAAATCATCCAGGAAAAGCTTTGCTCCAACAGACTAGAATTTGCTTACTTATGATCGCAATTTAAAAGTTCAACGCAGCGTGGTACTATGCCACGATTTATCATAGTCTCTATCGGAGGATGCTTCTCCCGACTCAGCAACTTTCTGCAAGTCTGTGTCGCTTGCAGTTGTATCGTTTCGTCCGGTGATTTCATTCCCGCCACAATATCGTCTATGGATGAAAAATTGGGCGAAATGGCTTCACATGATAGATTCAATGCCTCCTCTTCTGTGTTGAGATTACGTCGCTTCGATAATTGTTCTTCTTTCTTGGCTTTACGTAGCTCCACAGATACTATGTTCCTTCGCCTTCGTGCTTCCTAAAGCACATCAAAATTGTCAAACATGTTCCATATTGAATACATATGGATATTTTAAATTTCTATATCATTATGTACACATATATAATGAAAAGAATTATGTATGTAAATTACAAAAATATCGATAAAGTATTCTAACAATAAATATTAATCTATCTTTGAAAAGCTTATAATATAGTTAGATATAGTATTACTTATGTTAAACACAAATTAGAGAGAGAATTACTTATACTTACGTCAAGTCTATTGGTAAATTTAAAATTTGCCATACGTCCATTACTTGGATCTTCTTGAGAAGGCATATTGTTCAGTCTTTATATTACTAACTCTATATAGAATAAATATATATTTTTTTTAATTGTTCTCCAATTTATATATTTTTTTAATTTTTCTCCAATTTATTTTTATTCTAAGCTGTTCTCAATTTAAATCTACAAGATGAAGACTCAAATTACAATCACAATGATACAAACACATATAAAATAAGTATAAAAAGGTTATGTGTATATAAATGTTATGTATATATGTAATACATAAAGAATAAAACTATATTAAGAGATACAGTAGTTTCTCGCGCCAAATTTACATTTTTTCAAATTTTTAAATTACTTTATACACTAACACACTACAATATATTAATATTAAATTACTAGTAATGTGATTCATACAAACTTGAAAATTGATCTATGTTAAACTTGGAAACATTAGCAGCTTTAAAAATTGTTTCAAATTCATCTTTTATAACGGTTAAAATGAAGATGTTAAATAGAGCTTTCTGTATGTGAATGAATAGTGATTTAAATGCAATTAAACTCTTTTACTTCCTGTATGATTTTCTATAAAGTGTTGAATTAAATTGCAGCGATATAATCGAAAAAACTCAGTTTCAAACGTATCACGAGTTTCACGAGATGATTCAGTAAACCAGTATGTATACAAATTGGTCAAACCTGATCGAATTACGTCTCTCTCAGATGTCCTTGCAACTCGTTCTCCTTTGTCAAGTGATTCAACTGGAACCTGTTGCTATTGCCGTTACGAGCCAGCAAGGAAGACTATAGAGACCTCTTGCGGAGGGACGCATAAAAAGGGATTTTTTTATTTTACATTAAAATACGAATCAACTTTTATTTACGATACTTGTAATATCACACAAGAAATGATTTTCTAGCGGAAAGTATGAAATATAAATTGAGTGAATTTTTTAAACAAGTACTTGACATGCAGTTAGCTACAGAATATAATGAAATTGGGTGCTTAAGCCCGTATCAGACTGCCGACTGCATAGGCTGACTCAACTGCCGACTATCAATGGACCAATCACAGTGAAATGCCGACTAACTGGATCGGTCGACTCGCATTTAGGCTAAGTTCCCACTGAGCGCGTCACGCATCGCGTCGCGTCGCTGCGTCACGAGTTATGGCTCCTGCACACAGGACGCGGTAATGCTTGCCGCGCGGCGGAAGTTTGTGCGACAGCCAATCAATATGATGCTTTCCGTAATAACCTTCTAGCTCTTACGAAAAAACAACATATTGATTGGCTTTCATTGTTTATTAAAAAATTATTAAGAAAAAAGTTGAACATTTTAATAAACAAAGAATGCTTCTGCATATAGGACGCGGTAATGCTTGCCGCGCAGCGGAAGTCCGCGCGACAGCCAGTCAATATGTTGTTTTTCCATAAGAGCTAGAAGGTTATTACGGAAAGCAGCATATTGATTGGCTGTCGCGCGAACTTCCGCCGCGCGGCAAGCATTATCGCGTCCTGTGTGCAGGAGCCATTATTATACATAATTACCCGAAAATGAACCATGAGTACCCAGTAAGCAAATTGTGCGCAGACTGCGCGCAGATTGGCAGCAAATTTGATAAAAAACCCACAGCAAAATCATAGCCATCTGTGTCTACATTAGGCTACGGTTTTGGCGACAGATCTTGCTGTCGGACAATTGGTGCCAAATTTGCAGCAAAAATCGCGCAAAGCTTGCAGCGCAGCAAGGTCTGCGCGATTTCTGCCGCCAATCTGCTGTCAAATCGCTACAAGCTCTGCTTTTGCTGCAAATCTGCAGCAATTATCTAACAACAAACTCTGCCGCATATCTGGCGGCAATTTGGCAGCAAGATTTGATATAACAGATCCTGCATCAAATTTGCTATTTGCCATCAAAAGTTGATAGCAAACTCTGTTCGAAATCTGTTCGCGCAGGTTTGGCTATCTGGGTATTGAAATACTAGATAGTACACCGATCGTGCCTGACGGTACTTCCACAGCAGCGCTTGAGATCGATATTTCGGCCAAATATATGATTTTTTAATATTTAATTAAAATTATCTGGATGACTCACAAACTTTTTAATGATACTTTTTAATGATACTTCATAATTCTTCATACGAAATACAAACGATACCGTACCGAACCTTTGTTTAATTTACCTCCGGTCATTATTTCCGGCTAAATACATGGTCCAAAAAAGAACAATTAATTACAAGTAATAGAATGACTCACAAATCTTTTCAATTGCACTTCATACGAAATAAAAACGATTTAAAAGAATAGTTTTCCAACCGGAGTTTTTTTTCCGGTCAAGTACATACAAATAGAACAGACCACTTTTATTGGACATTAGACGCAATGTGAGTCCTCCATTAATCGTGGCAAACTTCACGCTTAGCGTCCACTAGATTCCGACTTTAATCTTTTTTTATTCTAAATTCGTTCTGAGGTGCACTGTAAACAATCTTATTGATTACAAATATCATAATTGGGTGATTCTTTTTTGTTTTAACTGTGAAATGAATTTATAATTCTTAATTAGATGTTTTCGTAGTCTCTCTTGTAGATCCCGAATGCTCTGAACTGGCCGTAACCTCTAGCTATTACAAATATAATTTCATAAATTGTGATATATATATGTATTAATTGTATATTTTTTTATGTATTATTAATATCTACATATATAGGATAAGAATATACAACATTGTGTTAATATTTGGAATAAATTTTAGTCAAATTGTATCTCTTTGTGTTTGTCATCTAAATTTATACGTTTCCACACGATGCCGGTTGTAATTTTCTTATATGCAAAAAATACTAATATTTGTGGATATATATATATATATATATATATATATATATATATATAACCAACTATAATTATTTCAGAAGAAACACACATAATTGACAACATTGAAATGACAAATCAGAAGCCGATTTCTTGCGGGTTGGATTTCTGTTGTGCTGCAAATCTAAATGATTGTTTGTGCACTGCAAGTTCTTCAAGGTAAGTTATACATTTTATAAATTTTGTTTATTAAATAAAAAAAATCATGATATTTCTGTACATGTTTCATTTTTTTATTTTTTAGATATGATTTTATCTGTGTTCCATTGGTACATCCTTTGCTCAAGAGAGAATTTATATCAGGTTCTGCCAAGAATCGTCCAGGACCATTCACTAGACCTGATTTAGTTTTGAATAGTTCAGGTAAATTATGATAAAATATTTTTAATAAATTTTTATGATATTTAAATAATATGTATACACACACACACACACACACACATATATGTATATATATATATATATATATTATGAGATATAAATATACATAATATATAAATAATATATAAATATATATTCTTCAGATTGGAATAATTTAATAATAGGTAAATTCTCACCATTTATCAATGTGGACTCAACTGATGCAATTATTAGAAAAAATAGTGAAGAAGCTTTAAATCAAGAATTAGCCTTGGCCATGCATTTTGGTTTGTCAGGCATAACTTTCAAATTGATGAGTGGAATAGATAAAAACACAAATCTTGCAAGAATTTTTTGTGATAAATTGTCAAGTAATTGTATTTTCCAGGTAAATTTTTGATATTTAAATGAGAGATTAAGGCTAATTGAAATTATTAAGATATTCTGTTGGCCACTGTAGGTTTGGATACAAGTACCTATGGAAAATCCAATTAGGCAAAGCTATTCTTACAGAGAAGAGGATTGTCCGATAGTGGAAAGTCCATGGGAATGGTGGAATGCATTTAGAATAATATGTGATTATAACAGAAAATTAGGAGTTGCATTAATTGTTAGTCATGACCTACCTGAACCAGCAGAGGTACTTTTATAAAATAAAACAAATTTTACAAATTAAAAATATTACCTATGTAACATATTTTTTGATGTATCAATATGAACTTATTAATGTGAATATTTCTTTGAATTTAAAGATTGATAGGTGGCTTGGGGAGCCAGTGAAATGTTTAATTTTACCAACAACGATATTTCTAACTAATAAAAAAGGATATCCAGTGTTAAGTAAAGCGCATCAGGCATTGGTCAAAAGATTTGGCACGTTAGAAATACAATTTATATTAACGGGTGCGTCACGTTACAAAAGTATCAGCTATTATCACAACTATCTTGATTATTTGTGGAAGGTAAGATTGAAAGAGATTACATAAAGTTGTCTATAAGATAATATATTTTGTTACAATCTTAGTAGACGGAAATAACGTTTTCATCTTTTCAGGGATGTCAAACTACTGGAGCAGTGGAAAGATTTGCTCGTGGGTACGAAGATTACTTACAGTGTCCGTTGCAACCTTTGATGGATAATCTTGAGTCGCAAACTTACGAAATATTCGAGAAGGATCCTGTAAAATATCGAGAATATCAGAGCGCTATATATGAAGCCATTAGAGATATTATGCCTAAAGTTCAGGAGGAAGAGAGGAAAGTGTAAGTTGAATCAATATCGTAATATTATGATCACAAAGAAATGTAGCGATTGAAAATGTTTAGAGTAATCATGGTGGTCGGTGCTGGAAGAGGACCTCTCGTAACTGCGTCTTTGAACGCTGCAGATATGGCCTCTCAACAAGTGAAGGTGTACGCAGTGGAGAAGAATCCCAATGCTGTGCTAACGTAAGGATCTTTTGAAACACACAAAGACTTTGTATGATAAGATGAATTAACTTGCATTGTATTTTATTGTCTATATCTATAGTTTGCAAGCTCTCGAGAGAGACGTGTGGGAAGACAAAGTCAAGGTGATATCGTGCGACATGAGAGAATGGGAAGCTCCCGAAAAGGCTGATATTATTGTTTCCGAACTACTTGGATCCTTTGGTGATAATGAACTGTCTCCTGAATGTTTGGACAATGTCCTAAAGTTTTTGCGAGGTTTGAATTGCATCATTTATAACTTCATTTATTTATAGCAACCGATCAAAAAATTCTCTTCTTTCTTTTATTTATGTTAGATGATGGAATTAATATACCACAATCGTATACTTCGTACATTGCTCCTATACAATCCTCAAAGCTATACAACGAAGTCAGACAACTCAGAGATAAAGATAAACATCCATTGACTAATTTTGAGACTCCCTATGTAGTACATCTTCAAAATAAGTACGATATAGCGAAACCACAAGCGCTTTTTACATTTGAACATCCGAATAGAGGTTTGTATACAAGTCTTGATGTAATAACACAGGTCATCTATATTTTGTTTTTATTTGTTTCTATTTTTTTTTTTATTTCAGCTACTGTCATTGATAACTCAAGATATGAGACTACAACGTTTCAAGTAAAACAAGAATGCGTGTTACATGGGTTTTCAGGATATTTTAGGACAATTCTATACAAGCATATTACATTAAGTATAGAACCTAGCACATATAGTCCGGAAATGTTCAGTTGGTTCCCAATTTTCTTTCCACTCAAGGTATGCTGGAAAATAAACATCACGTTCATCTTGAAATAGACAGTGATAAAAATAAAAAAATTATCTGTCCATGCAGGAGCCAGTATATTTAAAGGCAGAGGACCAATTAGTAGCACATTTTTGGCGCAAATGTAGCTCCAAGAAGGTTTGGTACGAATGGTGTATCAGCAAGCCTATTCCAGTCTCCATTCACAATCCAGGCGGACGTTCTTATACTATTGGGTTGTAGTATAAAAATGTCTGTCACTTTCATCAGTTTGCTTATTCAAAAAATTCAACAACATACGATGAAATAGGTGGCTTATATCTGTAATACAGACGAATTTTTACAAAATAGTTTGCAACAAATATCTAGGCAACTAGAGGTTACATTCTCCAAAATAATATTTTTTGCATTAATTTCAATTGAGATGTGTAAAGCCTATACATGTAGTACATTAATGCACACATTAGGTTCAAGGAATGACGTATCTCATCTTTGAGAAAGAATATATCTCCTTGATGTAGAACTGATGTGATTTGAATTTTATTTTATTGATAGTTTTATCGATAGTATTTAGGACTAAAATTATTTCTTTGTCTGGTATATATATTCAGCTGTATAAATAATAATCATGAAACAAGATAAAAAGAACAGGAGAATGAAAACTAGCAGATATGAAAGGTAATTGATGCTTAGAAAGATACAGATGCATACTGATGCTTCAGTGGTCTCTTTCATATATTTACTACATCATATATATATACACAGTATCACATAATATAGTGTATATGACGATGATCTCTGAGGTCATACTGATATCAAATTTTGATAACATATTACGATGTATTCTTAAAGTATGTGCTGCTGTTATCTTCTTTTAAACTCGTATGACAAAGTATATAGTTTAAACATTATGTAAATTTGACATATTGTAACATCCTCCATCAAATGCTACCCATATGATAGTATTCTTATATGGAATGTACATACATTAATTTTTTATAATGAATTTCTACTTTGATCAATGATTAATATAAGGATAGTTTTTTTTTTTTTATCTAAGTTCCTTTGTGGTTACTTTAACAAATTATCCTGTTCAAACAGTGTATATGTATTCATATAAGCAACATACAAAATAGAGCATTTGTTGTGTAATGATAACTCTGTCAAGTATTAGTCATACATTATTAATTTACAAAATGAAATTGTTATTGCTTATACAGGGTACACAGGAGATTATAAATAAAAATAGACTAATATGACACAAATAAGAAAGTTTTGATAAATATAGATCTAAATTATTTTTGAAATATTTTACTTTGTAAACACTCTCTTTTCATATGTTCTTAAAGTATTGTTCTTGATGATAAAACACAATGAGAATTTACAGACAATCGTTAATAGTGTTGGTCGAGATACAAAACTAGCTCAATTGTTTTTAATTAGTGAGATAGGAGAGTGGCCGATAACGATAGTAGCGGTCGGGTCGGGTCGAAGTTTTCTCTCGTCATTCGACACTATTCAGATTGCGCGCTTACGGTCGAAAGGAGGGTTAGGGTCATCGACAATCTTTCGTACGGTCGCAGCACGAGAGGACGAAGATGGCAAAATTGGCCGTACGGATTAGCAAGTGTGCGGTTAAAACATTTGTCTCACACGGCAGAAACAATCTATTCGGCGCGGTTTCAACGAGAACGTCGCTTCTCACCGCAGTGCGTTCCATAACCGCAACTCGATACTTGGGAATTGGTAAGTCAAGTATTGGCGAGCCGAGTGTATTGCTTCGAGTTTGCAAGGCGAGACTGGCGAAAACGAATTGTTCGCAACGTGAAAAGAAGAATTTCGCCGTTACACAGTATGTTTTGAATTATATATATTCATTGTCCTATTGTTCTGTCCCCATCATTCTGTGTACGAAAATAAGGTCGTTGGAAGGTGAATACTCGGCGACATATTTCAAATGTTTTCATGTTAAAATATGTCGAAATAATGTTTTTTATGTTAAAATATGTTGGGACGAGATATTTCACAAAAAATACATTCGATAATTTTCCTTGAATATTTTTACGTGCAGTATGATGAAACGAATCGATTTAGTGTAAAAACAACATATGGAGCAGTGTTACTAGCGAATTCGGTCATCTGCACCACACCAGAAGCCTTGCCTCTGATGCAATATATTAAAATGAGATAAATATACACTTTCTTATTCTAACTTATTACACTAGTTCAGCAGTGCAGCTACAAAGAACAGATCACAGGTCTCAGTGTACACTGAAGGCTGCTATACATAAAATATCAAAATACAATGGCATAACAGAAGGATTTTGACGTAGAAATAATTAATGTGATAATATTATTGTTAGTATTTAATAATTCAAAGTGCTCATATTCTTTGTTATTTAAATGATTATTTCGTATGTAACAGTCTTTAATATGCACTGACCCGGTGTAGTGCGGGTGCCGAATTCGCTATACGATAAAGCACTTAGGATAGTCAGGGCCTCCAAACTCCTATGCATTTTATGTAACATTAGTAGCGCTCTCTGAGATGAGGTCCCCTTGAATGAGAAATAAATATTGGTTGGAAAAAACCACATGAAAGCAAAACAAGTTAAAGTGTGAGCCGATGTGAACGAAGTGTGTAAAAAACGAAGCGCCTTATAAAGATATCTAATTCATTGCGATTATTTTAGCCGTCACGCGTTTTATGACGCCATATTGCTTTTTAGTTCTCATTCAAGGGGATCTCATCTCAGAAGGCGCTACTAATGTTAGTTACGTAAAATGTAATACAGTTTGGCGGCCCTGAGATTAGTTTCAAGTCAGCGCCATAGAGTACAGTCCAGCGGGCGCTGCAAATGTTTTGTAGCGTTTTTACTTCTTTCTTCATTCGAATCCGAGGAATAGAACAAGAGGGAGAAATGTTGCGCAGCATTTGTAGCGGTTGTTGGACTTATACCCCGCGCTCATAGACTTATATAGGATATCTTTCAACAAGAAACATAGGTGACACCATATATGTAATACTATTATATTGCTAGTCGCCCTATGCTGCCTGTAAAAGTTGTTCTAGTTGCATTAGTTGCAAGACGATTGCAACCCTTGTTGCGATAGCCAATCAGAAGCGTCAGTAGCACTATTGATGCTTCTGATTGGCTGTCGCAATAAGAATTGCGTCTGCTTACGATCGGCTAAACTAATATAGAACGACCTTAAGAGGAGCTTGCCTTAGAATAGGACAGACGATGTTTGAGAAGTGTATTTTGACCGTAGCGCGCAGGCGCGGCGATCAGATGATGTTATATATAACACACACACACACACACACACACACACACACACACACACACACACACACACACACACACACACACACACATATACAGGGTTGGCAAAATGTCCGGAAACGGTCAAATATCTCGAAAAGGATCAACTGTAGCGAAAAATATGTAAGTAGCAAAGTTGTAGGGCTTAATAAAATGTACCTAATGATGGCTAAAAATTTGACTTTGGATGGAGAACGGAGATCATACGAAAGTCAAATTGAATTTTTTTAATTGGACTCCCCACTTTTTATTACATATTCTTGTAGCTTATTTTAAGGGCTTTCCAAAAACCTATAATAAAGTATTTTTTTATTAGGCATATTTATAGAGTTATGAGGCTTAAAAGGATTTTGGTCTTTAACTGTTTCTGTTTCGTAAAAACGTATCACTGTCTTCTGAACGGTGGATTTAGAAATAAAATTGCGATCAGAATATGCAGCATTGAATGTGATCAGTTACTTCTTCGTATGATCTAATATGGTCTCCAAATTTTCGATAAAGAAACAGAATTATCTTTTCTTTATCGGTTAACATTTTTAAAAAAGAAATTTGAAATTGTAGTTGGAAAAAGAAAGGGAAAAGACAAAGATGCGAGAGAGCACGACTCGTTTTTAAAATACAAAGATCGAGAAGCGTTATCGTGAAGCGCGAGTATGCGCGAGTTTCGACTGAGTACGTGTGATATTACGTCATGAATGAATAAGAGCGTTCGATGAGAGCGAATGAACAACTAAGCAGGTCATATCGTCTAGCTCGAGACACGAAAAACAAAGTTATTCTTGTTTTTCTCCTGGGTTTATGTTTTTTAGGCTCCCAGCCTAGTTTAGAGGCATATCTAAAGTTGGCAATGGGCTCTGCCCGGTGCCAGGGGAATGGAATGTATGCCTCTCTAGAATCCAAATATTTCATGATCAGCTTCAATTGTTTCAAATAGCAATCAAGATTGAATTTTGTCACAAGTTTACTATCTTTTGAAAAGTAATATTATATTTATTTAATTTTATATATATATATATATATATATATATATATATATATA